GTTCTGAGACAGGAAGACTTCTTAAGGACAACTCTCACCTTTTAGGTATTAAGAAGTATTCCCCTTAACCTTAAACTTTTTATTGTAAATGTAAAGTTGAATTGGAGAATGTTCTTCCCCCCACTGATACTTGGAAATGTCAGAGATCATACCATGTTGGATGTTAATGTTTGAAAAAAACTAAGGAATTCTTAGGGAGTCATGTGTGGAACCATACTTTTCAAGTGAAAAAGAAATTATCTGAAATAATTCAAATAATTAAGAAACGTCTTGAACATCCTACTGAGGTGAAGGCAGAGAGGAAAACCCAGATGGAATTGGAGATGCAGAGATTTCTAAATGCTGGTCTTTGCTTAGAAAATCTGTCAAAGGAATGGCTTGTGAAATGCTTCACCGAATACATCATCCTGAAGGAGAATAACGAGAGTGCTGCACAAACCACCTAAGAGCCCTGCTGAGAGCGGTACGTAGGTGCTGAGTAATCTGACGGCACATCAGCTTTCAAAGCCGTGTCCTTGATGGCTGTCATGAAGCACAGAACTGTCCTCCAGACATCCTGGTGATTCCTGGAGAACTTCAGACCCATCGTTGGTTGGCTCCTGATGGCCTTGTACTCCATACGTTGCCTGTGTACCTTTCTTTGCATGCCTAAAATAAGCCTGTTTTCATTAGTAGAATTTGCTCCTGTATATTAATTGTGTTCATGGGTTGAGTCAGGAGAAGGAAACTGTCTTGGACACAAACTGAAGGGACAGTAAATCCATGCAGGAAATGTAATACGTGGGGCCTCTTTTGTCCCTGCATTGAAGAAGTGTGTTTTGTAGCAAAAAGTCAAGTTCCTTTAGGAAAAATGTCAGCTGTAGTTGCAGTGGTGCTGTATTAAAACACAGGCCATTTGGGAGGGAAGGGGGCCTCTTTATTAGACTGATGGCTTCAAATTCTAGAAGAGAAGCTTGTAAGCCCGACATGGTAACTGCTTTCTCTGACAACTGCTCTCACAGCAGCTGCCCACACCGACCTGGGAACCCTTTGTGCTGTTAGATAAACTCTGAAGGGAATAAATATCCAACCATGATCAGGGCAAGAGTCCCACTGACGGCAGGAGGAACCGATGCTGATCTCTTCCAGGATCAGTTGTTGATCCAGGGAACAGATGTCTGGGTAAAGCCATGCGCAGTTAGGCTGGGTACATTCTGCTCGGGACACACAGCTCCTTAAGTGCATTTTTTGCCCAGGTAAAATTGCCCAGGGGCATTTTTTGCCCAGGTGGGTGTCCCGAGGCCTGTGGGAGGGTTGTGGCAGGAGGCCGGGGCCCAGAGAGCCAGGGTTTGCCACACATGCCCAGGCCACCCTCGTCCTGTTCCATGTCAGGCGGCTGCCACGGCCTTTGAGTCGCCTGAGGAGAGGCGTGTGGCCTGAAAAAGTGTGATGGCTTCAATGTGTCTCAGTGGTGATGTCTGGCCGTGGGTCTCCTCAACGAACTGGTGCAAGGAATTGGTGTTGGCCAGCGGAGCAGCCTGGCTCGAGGTGCAGATGCTCCCCCTGGCCAGGCCAACCCGAGGGGCCTGGTTTCTACCCCTCGGTTTCTAACCCTGCTGCTATGGGGATGAGGCCCCTTTTCCTGAGCCCATAGCACCCACCGCATGCAGACCCCAACGCTTCCATCTGCTGCATGGCTTGGAGCAAGCGCTTCTTGGAGCGGGAGAGAGTCATCAGGAAAGATCAGCCCTGTGAATGGACATGGGGCTGAACATTTCATCCCTGTGTATAACGCACAGATGAGATGTGCCCAGCTATTACCAGGTAGTGGGCTCCCTGGGACGTGGCGCACACCGTCCGCTCAGTTATAAATGCAAAGGGATCAAATACTTTGGAAAAGAAGCTACCTCCGTGGTTATTACTGCTCTGAATTATGAATGACCCCAAAGCCAGAACTACTCACCGCCTTCTTTCTGCAGGGCAGCACTCAAAAGGCAGAGTGTTGCTTTCGAGAAATATAATTTTAGACAACAAAAGGGAAAGCGAGCACTATGAAAATGTACTTAAATGTAAATGTGTTAAATGGTACATGAACTCGTTGGGTTTTCATGATTTATCGGTTTTAGACTTCAAAGACTGGGGTTAGCTTGCATTTTTAAAACTAATGAGTTTATCGCAGCCAGCGGGGAAAAAAATGATTCGAGTGTATCAGCTGTAAATTGGTACAAAGCACTAAAAGGGACATTAGCCTCTAATCAGATTCGAACAGTTCATTAAAGCTGCCTTTCCCGAATGGCTCTTTGTGCCCCCATCCCCTCCTCCTGCTCGTGCCGCCCGCGCAAGGCAGCGTCTTGGCCGCTCTACCTCGGCTGAGGTCTCCTGGGGGACACAGAATCACAGAGTCACAGACTGGCTGCGGTTGGAAGGGACCTCTAGAGATCATCTAGAGGTCCCTGCTCCAGCAGGGACACCCAGAGCATGGGGCACAGGGCGGCATCCCGGTGGGTTGGGAAGATCTCCAGAGAAGGAGACTCCACAGGCTCCCTGGGCAGCCTGTGCCAGGGCTCTGGCACCCTCACAGGAAAGAAGTTCTTCCTCATATGGAATATGGAGAAAGAGCAGCTCATCCTTCCCTGCACGTGACAAGCTGAGGGAGGCTTTACTGTGGTGCCTTCCCACTCTTGCTGTGCAGCAATGTGGGAAATCAGGGATGGAGGGAGACCCCCTGGCTCTGCAGGATGAGGACGTGGCTCCATGGGAAACCGCGGAGAATCCGGATGGCCCCCGCGCAGCGAGCGTGCCGGCATCCCAGGGCAGCAGCGCCTTGCAGATGGATGAATGAACCGCCACCCGTGCTGGGAAGAGGGGTTGAAAGCCTGGAGCGGTTTCGCTCAGCTGTTTGGTGTTATCATAGCCCCTCTTCTGGCATCTCATCACCCCAAATGCCTGATAAAGATCATAGAATCACAGAATTATTATGGTCAGAAAAGACCTTCAAGATCATCGAGTCCATCCGTGAGCCCTTCAGCACCCTGCCTGCTGATCTCTGTCCCTAAGGGCCTCATCTGCCTGTTCCTTGAGCACTGCCATGGACAGGGGCTCCACCACCTCCCTGGGCAGCCTGGCCCAAAGCCTCACCGCTCTTTCCAAGGAGAAATTCTCCCTAATGTCTGACCTGACCCTCCCCTGGTGCAACTTGAGGCCATTTCCTTGTGTCCTACCTGTTGTTATTCTGGAGAAGAGACCGACCCCACCTCACTACAGCCTCCTTCCAGGTAGCTGTAGCAAGCCATGAGGTCTCCCCTGGACCCTCTCTTCTCCAGACTAAATAATCACAGCTCCCTCAGCTGTTCCTCATATGATCTGTGCTCCAAGGTGTGCAAAATGAATTGCAGAATAAAAGATGTTAAGATTTTTTTTTTTCTTCAGTTGCTCTCTGTTGTGGCAAGCTAAAATATTGGCAAGGGCAGGCAAGGGAAATATTACTGGGGAATGGGACATCATAATGGGTTGACTTGTCTTCATTTTTACATATTTGGAATGGAATTGTTCCATTGAAAAACAGTTACTTGGCCTGGAATATCGTAAAATCTTAGGCTTTTATAACCTTTTATCAACTATCATCTTATTAGAAAGACGAGAAGCAATGTAATCTTTTCCTCTTTCGCTGCATTTGGTGGCCACTCCCTTGTCATGTTCCCCTCCGTCCTGAGTTATCAAGCTCCATCTTATGGCTCACATGGGCTCCAGGTGAGAGTTGTTTAAAAAGGGTAGTTGCTCTGCCCTGACACTGACTTGGAGAATGGGCAGGTTGGTTTTCCTCCTTCTTAGCCTAAGTTATTTAAGCTAAAGGGGAAAAGCAAGGGAAAAAAAAGAAAGGAGCACAATATACAAGAGAAAGCAGTTACTGCTACATTGCAAACAAGGGACAAGATGTGTTGATTGGAAAAATGGAATTGTTTAAAATGTTTAAAATTGAATCAAAGTATTCCAAAATGTATAGATAGGATAGACCTTTATTTTTTTTCCCCTAATAATCCACTAAAGTAACCATGAAAATATTTCTTTCTGAGAATTTTGCAAGATGCTGTAGTAGAGTTGGTCCTACCTTTCACACAGTCATCGCATTCCCTGGAAAATGAAACAATTCTTTCTTCTGGTATCAGGGCTGTGAACTTATGAATAAAGGCACCATACTGTATTAAATAGGTCTGCTGCCAGTGATTCAAAAAAAGTGTTTTGGTTTATTTTTCCATTGCACTGTATTTAATGAGGACTGAAGAGTAATTGTAAGAGTGGAGGTGAGTTTTTAGTGTCAAATGCTGCATTTCATGCAGGGCCACAAGAAAGTGGCTTTAGATGAGTCACTTAAAACATATATGTGCTGTAGTTTTCCTGCTTAGAAAGTACCTGTGATGTCTTCTAACCTCTGTGCTGCTGACTGTGGTATTTTGATGCATAAGGTTAAGTTCTGGCTTGAGTGAGGAAATGTCTTAATTCTCACCAGGCTGTTCAAGGTAAGTGGCTAATGGGAAGGACACTAGCTTTAAAACATCACCCTTCAGCCTTGTCTGTATTAGAAAATTAGAAGGAGATTAGCTTTAAAACATCAACCTTGAGCCTTGTCTGTATTAGAAAATTAATTCAGAGTAAGGTAATATTTGAACTCGAAGGCACCATAGCTAGTTTTGGATACTTCCAGAGTATACTCAAGCAAGAGTACAGCAAGACATCCACAATAAGAATATTCATAGAGAGAAATCATAATATTAATAGAGAGAAATATTTGTGAACTTAACATCACAGCATCTTCATTTGTGTTCACTTAGCTTAGCTTCATGTTGGTTAAAGAAACTTTCCTTATTGCTTCATTACTGTAGAGGTTAAGTAGTGAATTAAACCAGATATCCATTTGATATGTCAATTAAACATTCTGACCAAATATTTTCACCAAATAATGACAACCACATATTTTTCCTCACTTTTCTATTAACTTTTGTTTTTCTTTTCTCTTGCCTTAGGAGATCAGCACCCTTGCAAACAGAATGTTAATGCTGGATGGGATGCCGGCAGTCAGAGTCAAAACAGAGCTGCTGGAATCTGAGCAAGGGGTAAGCAGAGCTTTCTGTGTCACTTCAGCATGACCATTGCAGACTTCCCCATGCTTGTCCATGAGCCCAGGGTGGTCCCCACCATTGTCATTTTCTCTGCTACCATTTTGGATCTCACTTTCTTGGGAAAGACATCAATGAACATCAGTCTCATCTGTTGGGAGCACAAAACAAAACTATGGAAGACAGACCCACATTAGCTGGGATAATGCAGGTGCTTTCTACAATGTAATTGTACAGTCACAAAAACGGTTCAGTTTAAAAAAAGCGGGAAGAGTAATGGGATATGATAAAGAATATGAATTCACATCCACAAAAACCTGCATGTGTTCATGTGATTTTGCTTTCTTGGATACTTGCCTTTTGTTTTTCCTTTTTTTTTTTTTTTTTTTCCTCTCTAGTCTATTTTCTGTTTTTTTGAAACTCCTTTTTCCTGGTGGAATAGAGATGCTTGTGATTATGGTAAGCATGGCAAAAGCTTGAGCAAATATCTCGGAGACTGCTGGATACAGGACAGAGATTTTGAAATGGATCTTGATTTTTTATTTTTTCTTTTTCTTTATTTTTTCTTTTTTTTCACAAATGATCAGTGCTGTAGTAATAGATTTTAGGAAAAGAGTTTTTGGATTTACTGAGGGGTCTTTCGATTTAGATGTGGTGGTAATCAAGTCAGGGATTGTAGATTGCCATGGCAGGATTTGTTTTCAATGGAGATGCTGCCTTAAGTATAAATGGTAAAAAGAAGAGATTCTGTATTGTCTCAAATAGATTCTCTTTTTGTTTTTCCTTGGACACATTTTATATTGTACAGAAGAATTCAAGCCACTTCCATGGTCTAAAGCAGGTGCTTCCAGAGAGCCAAGTGCGTAACAGGAGAAGCAAGAAGGGCTTTTGCTGTTTAGGGATGTGCTTGCCCTGCTTATCTTGGTGAGCTCTTCTCCTTCCTGCTATTTTCTCAACTATTTGATTTAGAATTTAACTGATATGGAGGAGAAGGGATTAGACTTTCAGAATGACTTAATCTGAGGCACTTGCAAGGAAAGAATGTTCTCAGCGTATTCCTGAGGCCACAGCAGAGAGAACCTGGCATTTGATGGAGTTCTTCCTCATCGCCCTGGCTTCTCCAAAGTGAGTACCCACAATAGATGCACCATAACAGCATGGTGTGAGGGAACCAAAACCAAAAACAGCTATCATAAGAAACACAGTCTTGGAAAGAGAGATCCTTCAGAGAGAGATTTTTTAGTAACTTCTGGATACTTTTGTCTAGTTTAAATACATTCTATATATTGTAATATATATCCTGCACATTGCAGCATCCTTGAAGAGGAATCTGTACCTCAGTAAAGTGTGGTTTGATGCTGGAAGACCTATTCGATATCTTAGAAACTGGAAGGAATTGTACAATTTATATAATTATTTTAATTTACTAATTTTTTCCTAATAAAATTTTATGTATGTAAAAAAAGTAAATAGAAAACTATGTCATCTCTCTCTTTCCCAGTGGCCAAGTCTTTTTTCTCCAAAGAAATCAGTTAACTAATTTGTGATTTTATGTGCTTTGTTACTAATAAAGTAGTGTCTGGACAGGAGTCTTTGGCACTTTTATGGCTCTTCATTAGGAGCAATCAATAAATACAAAATGAATTCTCTAGTTCACTAACAGAGCAACTGGCCATTATGGTGGTAGTTTTCTGGAAAGCAACTTAAGCTGTAGAGAAGGTGGTGGTTGAAATAGCTACTTAGCATGTGCTTTAGAGTCTGCTTTGAATATGTAGATGTTACAGCCATAACAGGGACAAGTGTTTGAAGGCTGAGATTGCCAAAGATGTGAAGCTGTTTGGGAAGATGAAAATCATAACTGGGAGGAACGGAATAGGAATTAAAATATGAGCCAAATATTACAAATTTTAAATAGCTGTTTATGTTACCATAGCATCCTGAAGGCTTTAGAGTTGCAACTGCATTGCATTTCACAGGGAATGTTTACTATGAACATTTTGCAAAACTGTTTTGCGTTTCCTTAAGGGAGTGGTCGAAAGTGCCATTATTTGAGATGCTTAATACCAGAGAAGATCAGGCAACCTTGTTGAAAACCTGTAGGGAGACAGCTGTGTTTCACTGCTTCCACTTGTATCTGTTATTGTTTATATGTTGTAAGGGCATAAATTAGATGTGGCTGAAGGCTTCTGAAATGAGAAAATCTTGTTTATGCTTTGGGGATCACAGAGAATCCCAGAATGGCTGAGGTTGGAAGGGGCCTCTAGAGATCATCCAGTCCAACCCCTGCTCCAGCGGGGACACCCAGAGCACGGGGCACAGGGCGGCATCCAGGCGGGTTGGGAAGATCTCCAGAGAAGGAGACTCCACATCCTCCCTGGGCAGCCTGTGCCAGGGCTCTGGCACCCTCACAGGAAAGAAGTTCTTCCTCATGGGGAGATGGAAGTGCCTGTGTTTTAATATGTACTGTTTATCCCTTATCCTGTTACTGGCCATATTTACAGTTAAGGCAGAAGATCTAACTTGTTGCTCAGCACGGGAATGGTTTGGAGGGGGTATCCTAGAGCCTCTCTCTTGGCCAAACTTCCAGTGTGAAGCATCGATTCACATTGGACATTGACATCTCTGAGGGCTCTGATTTGACATCTCCAAGGGCTGACAGGTCAACCAGACCACTGAGCTGTTCCACGTGGGGGGAGCTGTGCTAGAAGTCAGATCCATTGGGAACTGGCTTTGGCAAAAGGGGTCTCCAACCAGCTGCCTGCAGAAGAAAGGAAGCACAGCAGTGAGCCCCGAGGCGCTGAAGCCTTTTGCTCCTAGGGAGTTGTGCAGCACTGCTGCAAGTTGATAGCTAAGCAGTCCTGTCTTGGCAGCCTTCTGTGTTACGACGATGGACATTTACAAGGTGGTTACTGCTCTATTGCAAATTAGGATTAAATTGGTCATTCCAGGGGTAGGTGCCCTCCCACTTCTTGCACAGGTGCTGCAGAGATTTTCTCGGGCTTGGCTGGCACCGCTCTGGGTTCCTGGCAAGAGCCTCAGCCAGAAGGTGTCACTGTGAATGTGGGTTGGACTCCAGGAACACAAGGACTATGAGCTAATTGCCTTGCCCAAGATGCAGGTTGTCGAGATGAGACCTGCTCACCACAGTAGGCAAGGCATATGAGTCCTTCTGTACTTTAGGGATTCAATTCATTTAATAATTTGGTGAGTTTACTGGTTAGCTTAGCACATGTTGAGCCTGGGACTCCATTAAAAGCTTTTCTCAAAATTCATGCATCTCCTTGCAAATCAGTAACCCACCAGGCTATTGATTCAACCAGTAAAAAATATCAGTAGTTAGGAACCAAAATAAAACCAACAGGGATCATAAGTCAAGTGAGAACACAGGAATAAAAAGCACAAAGAGAAATAGCGCTCCCCTTCCTTTTACCCCTTCTCCCCCAAGACAGAAGCACGGGGAAATCCTTATATAAACAGAGCCAGATTCTTACCTTAAACTTAAATTCAGTTGCCTTTGGGGTGTATGACTATGGTGGAACAGGCTCCTTAGGGCCATGTGCACCTCAGGAGCTCAGATATCCTTGGCTGCATATTGCATTGGGTAACCTGCTCCCTCTGGCGTTTTGAACCACCTGGCATTTTCTGATGTATTTTTGGTAGTGGCTGGGCGATCGATCCATGATTTTCACATGCTTTTATATTTCCTATCGCTTGAGAAAGCATAGGCAAAGCTGTTCTGAGTCAGCTTCCCATCATCTGTGTTTTGGAGCTCCAGGACCTTGGGTTTCCTTGCTAGGTGACTGCTTGCTTTTGTTTCGTATCATGATTCATCTGTTCTAGCATTGTGTTCTGGTGCCCTGCGTGCTCAGAACTGGGCTGGTATCTCTGGAAAGCAGCTTTAAAAAGGCATTTTTAAATAGCATCTCTCTCCTACTGCAGAAGTATTGCTCTACAGCAAGCGTTGGTTTAAAACATAGGAATAAGCAAAGGAAACAAGTGCAATTCTGCTGAAATTTTGGAACTGGCCTTGAAGAACAAAGCTGTATGAGTCACCCCCACTGCAAAATAGAGAAGTTCATTGTTTAGACTGACAAAAAGTGGAGTTCAAGTCTGTATTTGAGCTATGCCTGGAGCAGCAGGCTCAGTGGGGCTGCAGAGAGGTAGGCAGCACCCGGGAGCTACGGCCTGCGTCACGGGGGTGAGTGCAAACCTCTACCAACCTGAGCGTAAAAGACACCTACTTCAAGCCTGATGACAGTGGGAGAATAGAAATTAGGCAGCCTCATAAAGAGAAAGATGCCCTATAAGATATAAATTATTAGGCAAATTTGGAACAAAGAAGTATTTACAAGGGGAATGGATTTTCTTTGCTTTGGAAAAAAGTTAAACAGTTCTGCTTTCTAGTATCATCACTAATTCAGAACAGTTTAATGATTTTTAGGAGGCCATCACCATTAGCAAGAACAGAATCTTATTTTTCTGGTGAACTGCTGTCCTTAATTTTGCACAGGAGATTTAATGCAGACTATTCTTTGAGCCTCAAGAAGATACAGTGCTGCTTTAATGACTTTATCCCAAATGAAAAAAAGCCATTACATAAAAGATATCACATTGCCCTTTAACAAGGCTTCATTATTATCTCCCCTACTGTGGAACAGGAGTTAACATGGCTAATAAATTGGTAGAATTACTTTGGAAATGTGAGTTTGTTTATCATTTAATATTCTCCAGTGACCTGCTGCTTTAGATCTCTTGGTCTGCAATAAATTTGTGTATGTCAATAACCAGCTTCAGAGAAGAATATGAAGAATTGTTATCAGCTCCCTCCTGATACACATGAAGATAAAGGACTCCGCCAGGAAAAATACTTATTCTTTCGATTGCTCCAAAAAACCTTTTGAAGATAAATACTCCTTTTTACTGAAGGGTATGAAGGACTAATTCATAATATTGATACAGACTGGCCAATGAATTCACTAGCAGTAAGCTGGGATGTA